AATTCCTTTTTACAGCCCCAAGGGATGAATTTATGGAGTTAGACCTGCACTCAGGGCTGGGATAAAATCCCAGAAGGGTTTTCAAGGTGGTCTCAGTGGGAAGGAGATGATCCATGAGCATGTTGCCTGTGGTCTCCTTGCTCTTTACTGCCCAAGAGCTGTGGTTAAGGACCAAACCAAAGCAAGGCTCCTCTGAAGGGATGGGGCCTCACCTGAGGGACATTGTGGTGACCAAAAAGGACCCTCCCACCTGTGGGTGCCTTGGCTCCCAGAGGGAGATGAACACTCCTGGGAGGAATTCTCAGCCCAGAGCAGTCTCTTCCCAGGGAAATGTCTCCTGGTGGTTGATGAAACCCCTCAGATCCACCTGGGGGTTCAACCCATTGCAGGAGCACTTTGCTCCTTGATCCACTCCTGGATCAGAGGCAGAGGCAACACCCAGAGCTGGGATGGGAGCACACAGGAGGCTCTGAATGATGGAGAACGTCCCAAATTTCACTCTTCTCTCTTGGCAGCCACGTCCCCAGGCCAGGACAGCCATGGCAGCCTGGAGCACCTTCCTGCATCCGAGCAGATCCTGCAGAGCCTGAGTGAGCTGGCCAGGTCCTTCCAGGAGATGGCCGATCGCTGCCTGCTGGTGCTGCACTTGGAAGTCAGGTAAAAACCTGGGATTTGGGGTTGGAAGGGGATCTTGGAAGGCTGAGGTGAAGATCGTGTCCAGAGGAGACAAATAAACTTGTCCACAACAGCATCAGAGGTTAGTCCAGGAATGCCCAGATCTCCAAATCGTGGGTGGCCAAATGTGGGACGGAGGCAGGGTACCAAAAGTGGAATTTCCTAGGGAGGTTTGTATCTTAGCTCAAAGAGAATTTAGGAAGAAATTCCTTAATGTTGGTGTGGTGAGGCCCTACCAGAGAAGCTGGGGCTGCCCCTAAATGCCCAAGGCCAGGCTGGACAGGGCTTGGAGCACCCTGGGATAGTGGAATATGTCCCTGCCCATGGCAGGGTGGCACTGGATGATCTTGCAGGTCCCTCCAACCCAACCTACTCTGAGATTCCATGATTGTGGTTCAGAGACCAGGAAAAATGTGATTTTCAGGGACTTGGTCCCTCCAAAACAACACAATGGTGTTTTCACCATCTAACAGGTGTCTCCAGAGTTTGGTGGGTTTTTTTTTTTTTGGGGGATTGCAAATAGGAGCTTCTCCTCCTACTTTTTTTCAAACAGGAACAGGAACTGGGGAAGCAGCTGGATTGTTTTCAAGGGCTGGGTAATTTCATGAAGTCTCTGCCTTCACATGCAAGGATCAAAGGCAGCAAATCCCTTTCTTCAGGCTGCCAGCTGCCCACTCCAGGGCTGGGAAGATGCTTTTCCCTGGAGAACTGTTTAGGCCTGGTGTATTCTCATTGCTTCCCTTGGCTCTGAGGCATCAAATAGAAGGGGAATGTCAGAGATTTGATGGATCATCAGTTTTGTTCTTCGGTGACACATCCCAAGCCACGTCGTGTCCCCGTTTGCTCCGCTGGAGTCAGCGTGGAGCTCTGGAAAAAAAAAACATCCACATTAATTCTTGTCAGCACTCCTTCATCCTGCCATCCATCACCTGCTGGGCTTGGAAGGATTTGAGGAAAAGGTGGTGGAAGGATGGAAATGGAGCGGCTTTCCAGCTGGGCTGGAGTAACCCAGACTCTTGCCATGGGTTTCTGGCCTCTGTGGCTTTTTGTCACATTTGGGTTAAGCCAAAAATCCCTAGAATGGAATTCAGGGATAAATTCCAAGGGATAAATTCTGCTGTAATTCAGGGCAGAGCATTGCCCAGCTCCTCCAGGGCTTCCAACAGGAGCCGAGTTTGGAGCTGTGAATTGACCAAGCCACGTCACCGTGTCCGAAGGGTGGGAGGGACTGAGGAGAGGTGCTGACATCAGGAGAACCCCAGCGGGGTGGGAGCTTCCCTGGATCCCTCACTCTGCATTTCCAACCACCTGCAGTAGCAGAGGACCTGTTCCTAGCAGGAGTCTCTGATCCTGCACCCATTCCCTGGATCTGCCCAAGGTGCACAGCGCAGTGGGAATCCATCCACAGCATCCCTGTGCTTTGAGAGACACGTTTGGGAAGAGCCTGGGGATTTATCCCACCTCTGGCTGCTGCAGGTGCAACCTGAGGAGACACCAAAACAGCCAGGAATTTGGGAGCTGTCTCCTTGAATTCTCCAGGAATTTTGTGAATTCCACACAATTATCTTCTGACTTCCTCCTGCCTCAGAGACCCCGTTCATTCCAGATGGAGGTTGGTGTTGTCTTCTCCTCCTCCTCCAGTGCCCTTGGACATGACCCTGAGATCCTGCTCCTTGGATTTGGATGTGCTTCCTTAAAGGAGACGTTTGGCACACTCAGATCATTCACCAAGCCATGGAATCACATCCTACAATCCTGGCAAGGGTTGGGTTGGAAAGGACCCTAAAGATCATCCAGTGCCATGGGCAGGGACACCTTCCCCCATCCCGGTTTGCTCCAAGCCCCATCCAGACTGGGAACGGAAGCAGCTTTTGTTGGAATAACCATGAAATTTTAGACTACTTAATGTCTGTTACAAGATTTTCATAAAAAATATTAATATATAAAAATATAATATAAAACAATAAATAAAATTATATTTAAGATGCTTTTTTGCTGGGGATTACCCTAAAGTGGACTTGCTTGTGATGGCCACCTCAAGGGTGTTTTCCAGGGAATATGGAAGCCAGGACAGCTCTGAGCTTCCTGTCCCCATGTGCTGACCCTGAGTTATGCCCCAAATTTCAGGGATTCTCCCACAGACTTTGATTTGTTCCCCTGGCAGGTAAATTTCAGAATGATGGAATCGTTTAGGTTGGAAAAGACCTTTAAGATCATGAGGTCCAACCATTCCCAGCTCTGCCAAGGCCACCACTGACCCTGTCCCTGTCCCTAGGAATTTTCCCTAAAATCCAACCTAAACCTCTCCTGGTGGAAGTAGAACCCAACCCTGTTCCTCCTGAGTGACTACAAAAGCAGAAGGAGCTCTGCTGTGGATTTTTCTGGACACTTTCCTCTCTGGCTTTGAGAGAAACGATTTAATTATGGTTTTTTGCAGAGTCCTAAGAGGGGATTAAACTGCATGGAATTTCTCCTTCCATGGAGGAGGCCAAGTTGGGATTTAAGTGCATGGAATTTCTCCTTCCATGGATGGTTGGGCATCTTGGGATTTGACTGCAGGGAATTTCTCTTTCCATGGAGGGGGTAAAGTTGGGATTTAAATGTGTGGAATTTCTCCTTCCATGGAGGGGGCCAAGTTGGGATTTAACTGCATGGAATTTCTCTT